TTTTTTATGCTTTCTTGGTGCACCCCCTTGTGGTCTTTGTGCGCAGTCTTGTTGTAGTTAAGCCTTAATTGTTGTCGGCAATACTAGGGGTGAATTGACTTCCAGGCTAACTGGCTATGAGAGTCAGCTGTGTCTGCAGTGGGAGAACTTCTGTGCTGAATCTCTAGGGCGGTGCTAATCTAGCCTTTGCCTGAGGCTATCCGGCAAATGCTTCTGTGCAGGGCTTGGGCGGGGTGGGTCCCAGGGGATCTACAGGACGGGCGGAGGGAGCAGTTATGGTTGCTCTCAGTTCCGTCCCCAGCGGCTCTGCAACCGCTGCAAACCTCGGAGAGAAAGCTGCCTTCCCGCTTCTCCCGTTTGAGTCTGGGTCCCTAGAGACTCGCCGGGATCTGGAGCTCAGAGTCTGAAACTCCCTCCTGATTGAAACCAACAACCGCGCCCTCCGCCGCCGGCCCGCTCCACGCGCACCTCCGCACCTTAGTATTTCACCTCCGCACTGCGCCTCCTCTGAGTCTGGGTATGGATTTCTCTTTACTTCTAGTTGTAGAATCTCTCCTCAGCCAGCCTTCCTGTGGTTCTGGGTGATGTCCGTTCCGTCTTTTAGTTGTATTTTTGAATTGGTTGTTCGAGGCGGCAAACTCCGGCGTTAACCTATGCCGCCATCTTGGTTCTCTCTCTAATTCCTAATCTTTAAAGACTTTTAAAATTGCTATGAAAAAAATTTAAAGGTGTCTGCATAACTAGTGATACAATCCATATATTTGAGGTCTTTAACTTATAGGGACATGTGTAAAAAAAAAACCCTTTCATTTGTTTTATTGGTAATATAAATTAGAACATAACTTCAGATGAACTACACTTAGGATTCCCTAAAAACACTTGCAAATAGGGACTGAATACAACTCATCTGAATCAACACGATATGAGTTTCCATGAAAACTTTTTCAAGTGTGCTTCATTCTGATAAGTGTGTTCCATGTACTATTACTTCCCCTTACCTTGGCCCTGAACAGAGACTATGAGATGGGTAGCAGTTTTTAGCTTAAATTAAACTAATTACTGTTTAAACCATTACATTTTCCAGATTATCAAGCAGTTTTCATTTTGTCTTGATCTCCCTTTTGTATTATACTACTTTTCCCAGCATAACTGATCTCAGAAATAATTCCTATAACTTTAAAAATTTTTATTTTTGTTGTTTACATGTGATATATACAATTAAAATTATTATCAATACTTGTTTTAGCACTAGAAATATGTAAAATTTTAAGTGTTTTTCTATAGTAAAAATTTTGAAGGGGTATATAATGCTTTGAGTTCCGTTTAAATGAAGATTCTATTTTAAAGTACTTATAGTGGCATGGTCTAGGACAGGGGTGGGCAACCCCTGGCACGCGTGCCAAACATGGCACGCTAGTAACTTTTGCTGGCACGCGAAACCCTCTCTTATAATCTTCCATTTACAATTTTTTTCTTAATATCGACTTTTTTTCCCCAGATAAATTCAGTGTAGGTGCATCTTAGATAAATAAATCATTTTACATAACAAGATATTAAAGATAATTAAGATATTTAAGACCATAGACATGGATTGACGAGAGAGGGGGAAGAGCAATTTCTATGCCTCTGCCTTAACTCTCCCTGCCTTCCTAGATCCGACCAGTGTTTTGGTTTCATACACATATGCTTGTGAATCTAAGTCTCATAATAGGAGTAGCCTGGCTGATGAAAGTAGTAGCTCGTGCATATTTCTGAAGGTCACGAAATATAAACCTGATGTAAAATCTCTGTCATCAGTGATGCAGCAGCAAAAGTCCCACTGATAATATCAAACGGAGTCATAAAGTTTTCTGTCGGACTATCAGTGTACATGTATACATTAAAAAATAAATGTATTTTTCATCATCATATACTGTGTTTTTGTCGCTCGAATGAATTTTATTATTTCTTCAAGGTTCTTCACATACGTACACCTTAAGAGATATCAAGTAGGCGTAACATGTTCTCAAAAAATTAGAGTTGGCACGCAGAAGAATTTTGAGTCAGAGATTCTGCTGGTTTTGGCACGCACTCACAAAAAGGTTGCCCACCCCTGGTCTAGGACTAGGTTAGAAGAAATAGGACTGGCAATTAGGAGATTTAGGTTCTAGGCTCCATTTCTGCCACTAAATTGCCATGCTCCTAATTAACTAAGTAAATTATGGCTTTTTTTTTTTTCCTGCTTATAATAAGAATTAGGCTAAAACTCCATGGTGCTAAAAACGTGAATGTTTTCTGTATTATATCTAAACTTATTTTTAAAAAGAATACCTATTGACTATATTTCTCAGTCCTTACATAGGTCATTTTAAATTCCATCATTGTTAAGCAGCTACTATGTGCATGCCAGCAATATTAAATCCATTCTGGAATAAGGGAAGGCAAAAATGAGCCAAATACATTTGCATGCATTTAATGCACTGAATTGTACACTTGTAATTGTTAACATGTTAAGTTTTGTTATGTATATTTTATCACATGCAGTGCTCCCCTAAACATTTCATTCCTACCATTTAAAATTGCATTATCGAAACAGATTGGTTTGGACCTCAGTCTGTTTCTCTAAAGGACTCAATCACTCCAGAGACAAGAACTCTTTTGTAATCCTAGCTGTTAACTCCAGGGCCTTAGAACACTCTCTGTCTGGCTCTTAGTTACCAGGGAGGACATTTATAATCTGGCTTTTCCCAAGAGTTGTTATTTCATATATTTTAATTATTTTCAACCAAGGCAATGCATCAAACATATAAATAGCTGTAAAAACTTTTGAAATACACACCAGAAAAATTCTTTTTCACATGTCATGAGTTGGAGTTCAGAAAATCTGGTCACAGAACTCCAGACCTTCAACAAATATTTGTCAAATTAATGCATGAGACTTGAGAAGACAAAAAGATAAACATTAAATCCCAGCATAAGTCCAACAGATCTTACACAGAGTGTAAGACAAGAACATAATGGTATACATACTTCTTAAGAAGCATGCCAACTAAGCCATTATTGAGGTAGCTATCTAACGAATCCCTATCACTTTCTCCCAAGCAGCTTTTAACAAAGCCATTGTATTTCAGCCTCCGATCATCTAAAGGTAGGCAATTGCCTAGAATAATATCTATTCAGTGCTCAGACAAAACAAAAGCTACCTGTTGGAAACTTTATTGGCATTCCTGGATACTATACAGTCATTTAAAAAAGACACAACAACCCTAAATTTACACTATTTAGCTATATGTCACTAACAGGCTAGCTTGGATGTTTACTACACCAAGGAGAGTTGGCTTTTTTCCCTTTCCTGGCTTTTATCCCGCCCCGCCCTCCTTCAGTTTAAATTCAGTTCAAACAGTTCAAGAAGCCAGCTAATTAAATCCTAAATTCTGTGCTGTTCCACCGACAAAAAACATAGTTCAGCGCTTGGGAAAAGCTCGTTCTCAAAAAAGACTGTGCGTTAAAAGTTGCCAGATATCGCGAGCGGCTATGTTTCTTCAAAAGGGCAGACCACACCCCAGTGGAGCCCGGTGCACCTT